AAAAAGAAGAAAATCGGTGTTAAAAATGATGAATTTAAAGCATTCATATATAATCAAAAATCAGCTGATATGGAAAATGCCAATGGAAAGAAAAATAAAGTTAAAAAGGACAACAATGAAAAAAATGGAATTAAAGATGAAGAAAAAGAAAAGAAAAAAGAGATAAAGATTGAAGAAGATGAAAATGAAAGTGGAGTTAAAGAGGAAGAAAATAAAAAAAGAATTGAAGTTGAAAAGAATGAAGGAGATGAAGTTAAAAGGATGAGAAAAGTAAAAGAAATGGTGTTAAGAAAAATGAAAATGATAAACATAAGGTTTTTGAATAATATTCAAAAACTGCTGAAGGCAGAAATCCTGAAAGACTGGAAAGTCAGAAAGGTGACTGTTTTTTAGAAAACAAAGACGTTGAAAAATTCTGTAAGTCATGGGTGCAAATAGTTAAAGAATTTCAACAAAGAAACAAATGGAATAAAAAGGACAGAGTGAAAAAACTTATCAAAACAGAACTTGCAAAAGTCAAGGTAGTAAGTGTTGGAGTTGAAGCTAAAAAGAATGAAAATAAAGCACTTGGTCGTTATCAAAAATATTCAAAGTTGGATGACACTAAAGGGATGTATCAAATTGGATATCATTATAAAAATGGAGTTGAAGTTAAAAAGGACGAGGCAGTTGGATGGTGCTTGAAATATGCTAAAGATGGCAGTTCGGATGGACAATTTGATTCTAGTGGGCCAGTTATTAAAATAGAATTAGTTTTGGAAAAGCTGGTGAAAACTGGAAGAAAAAGGTGGCCGAATTTTTATAAGAAAATAAGGGCAAATTAGACAAAATTAGAAGAGGCAAATTTGTTCTGACTCTTAACGTTGCCCTCGGGGAAGTGGTAAAAGGATCTACTAAAATGAACATGAAGTGAAAGAAGGAGCCCTAGAACGTACATGTTATGAGGGCCAGGATCAAAATTGGTCTGCCAAATGGAGCTAAAGAAGAGATTAAGTTAGTAAAGTTAGGAAGAAGGTCAAGCAAATCGATTAAAAGATGACGTATGGTAAAGAACCCAATAAATAAGATCACTCTATACTTACCATATGAGATGAAATCTGGGTATATGATCCTGGAGAAAGACAACTGAAGTTGGCCTCTAGGCGAAAGGCCTTAAAACGAGCATGGCCAAAAA